TGGCTGGGGCCGGCTTTTCAATTCATTCCTCTGGAATTTTTCACGGTTTGTGCCATGGGCTTGGGTTACCTGTTTACAGGAGATTAAACAGTCGGCTGGGAGAGGCATGGAGACAGAGACAGAGATGGAGGTGTAGGGAAAGTCCCCCCCCCTCCCTTGTTAAAACTGAGGATTGGGGCTGGCACTGTGGCAAAATGGGTTAAATGCCCGCAGCACCAGCGTCCCAGATGGACACTGGTTCAAGTCCCAGTTGCTCCACTTCCGATCCGGCTCCCTGCTAATGCTCCTGGAAACAGTAGAAGATGGCCCAAGAGCTTGGGCCCCCACATGCGGACTCATCCGGCGAGGTCCACACTGCCAGGATGGCGGGGCGACGGCGTTCTCTGACAAAAAGCCAAGGAGACAAGTTTCAGTTAACATGTCCTTTATTAACTAGCAAGCAGAAGCTTTGCAAGGGCCAGCAGAGGGGGTGAAGCTAATTCAGGGCAACACTGATTCTATAGGATGAAGCTGATATTGGCGCCGCTATGGTTCTCCAATCAGCTTGGAGGTCACGTAGGTTACGGTAGCTTTCCAGGTGGTCCTAATGGGCCTGGGCTACACCCGGGAGCTGTTTGCCTGATTGGCAATTATAGGGAGCAGGGCTGGGGGAGATGTGCCTGGGGCTCCCGCCTCCTGCCAGCAGTCAGGCTAACCCCCTGCCTGGGCTGGGCAGGCAGCCTCCCAGCCAGGCACAGGATCACCCACACCTGCACCCACGTGGGAGACCTGGAAGAAGCTCCTGGCTTCGGGTGGCCCAGCTCCGGCCGTGGTGGCCATTTGGGAAGTGAACCAATGGATGGAAGATTTCTCTTTCTCTCTGTAAATCTGTCTTTTTCCTTTTTTTTCTTTTTCTTTCTTTTCTTTTCTTTTTTTTTTTTTTTTTTTTTTTTTTTTGACAGGCAGAGTGGACAGTGTGAGAGAGAGACAGAGAGAAAGGTCTTCCTTTGCCGTTGGTTCACCCTCCAATGGCCGCTGCGGCCGGCGTGCTGCGGCCAGCGTACCACGCTGATCCAAAGGCAGGAGCCAGGTGCTTCTCCTGGTCTCCCATGGGGTGCAGGGCCCAAGGACTTGGGCCATCCTCCACTGCACTCCCGGGACACAGCAGAGAGCTGGCCTGGAAGAGGGGCAAACGGGACAGAATCCGGCGCCCCGACCGGGACTAGAACCCGGTGAGCGCCGCTAGGTGGAGGATTAGCCTAGTGAGCCGTGGTGCCGGCCTGTAAATCTGTCTTTCAAATAAACAAACAAATAAATGAATAAATACATTTTTTTTAAATAAAGTTCTGAGGGACTGGTGCTGTGGCATAGCAGGTAAAGCTGCCGCCTGCAGTGCCGGCATCCCATATGGGTGCTGGTTTGAGTCCCGGCTGCTCTACTTCCAATCCAGCTCTCTGCTATGGCCTGGGAAAGCAGTAGAAGATGGCCCAAGTCCTTGGGCCCCTGCACCTGTGTGGGAGACCTGGAAGAAGCTCCTGGCTCCTGGCTTCAGATTGGCGCAGCTCCAGGGGATGTGGCCATCTGGGGAGTGAACCAGTGAATAGAAGTTCTCTCTCTCTCTCTCTTCTCTCTGTGTAACTCTGACTTTCTTTTTTTAAAATTTTTTTTTGACAGGCAGAGTGGACAGTGAGAGAGAGAGACAGAGAGAAAGGTCTTCCTTTGCCGTTGGTTCACCCTCCAATGGCCGCCGCGGCCAGCGCGCTGCGGCTGTAACTCTGACTTTCTAACAAATAAATAAACTTTTAAAAAAAGTTCTGCAAGCTTTTTTTTTTTTTTTTTAAGATTTATTTACTTATTTGAAAGGTGACATTAAAGAGAGGGAGAGGCAGAGGCAGAGGCATAGAGAGAGAAGTCTTCCCCCTGCTGGTTCACTCCCCAAATGGCTGCAATGGCCAGGGCTGGACCACACAGAAGCCAGGAGTCCGGAGCTTCATCCTGTACCACATGGATGCAGGGACCAAAGCACCTAGGCCACCCTCTGCTGCTTTCCCAGGCGCCTCAGCAGGGAGCAGGATCAGAAGTGGAGCAGCCAGGATGAGAATATGGGGTGCCACAGGTGGAGGAGGCTTAACCTTTTTCACCACAGCGCCAGTCCCCAAAACAATTTTTAACCAATTGGGGAGAATGAGCACTCCCATCTGCTGGTCCACTCCCAAGATGAGCTGGGAGCCAGGAATTCAATCCAGGTCTCCAGTGTGGGTGGCGGGAACCCAGCTGCTTGAGCCATTGCTCACCACTGCCTCCCAGGGGCTGGAGCCAGGAATCAGACTCAAGTACTGCAGTGTGGAATGTGGGTGTCTCAACCACCAGGCCAAGTACCTGCTCTCAGTCTGCCAGCATTCTGCTAGTCTCCATGTAGGATGACAGCCCATTGTTGGAGCTCACATTGCCCTGAGCACCTGTGCACACCCTTACTGGCCTTTTGGGTTCTTTCTTCTCTATGTTGCCTGTTCATACCTTTGCCCACTTTCCTTTTAGGGTTGCTATTTTTCTTGCTAAGAAAATATCCATGTTAGACTTTGCAAATATTTTCTCCCATTCAGAAGTCTGTGTATTCAAGATGAAAATTAAAAAAAAATTAAGTTATTTTCATTTTCTTTGAAAGGCAGAGAGAGAGAGAGAGAATCTTTCATCTGCTGGTTCACTCCCCAAATGCCTATAAGAGCCAGGGCTAGGCCAGACCACAGTCAGGAGCCAGGAAATCCATCTGGGTCTTCCACATGGGTGGCAGGGGCCCAAGTACTGGGAACCATCACCTGCTGCCTCCCAGGAAGCTGGTGGGAAGTGCAGAAGCCTGAACTTGAACCACAAACTCTGGTGTGGACTGCAGGTGTCCTAAGCAGCATCTTAACCACTATGCCAGATGCTCCCCCCAGAAAGGAAGCTTCTTGGGGCTGGTGCTGTGGCACGGCAGGTGAAGCCGCTGCCAGCAGTGCTAATTCTATTGTTTACCTTTCTCAGGTGGACACTTGATCAGTCTAGGAAAACACCACCGTGCAGGGGCCTGTGCAGTGGCACAGTGGGACACCTGCATCCCCACACCGAAGTTCTGGCAGCCCTCTGCTGATGCGCCTGGGAAGGCAGCAGGTGATGGCCCAAGTGCTTGGATCCTTGACACCCATGTAGGAGACCCTGGTGGAGTTCCAGGCTCCTGGCTTTGGCCTGGCCCGGCCCTGACTATGGTGGTCATTTGGGGAGTGAACCAATGGATGGAAGATCTCTCTCTTTCTCTCTTGCCAATAAGTAAAATACATCTTAAAATAGTAGAGCACTGGCCGGCGCCGTGGCTCACTAGGCTAATCCTCCACCTGCGGTGCCAGCACCCTGGGTTCTAGTCCCGGTTGCTCCTCTTCCAGTCCAGCACACTGCTGTGGCCCAGAAGGGCAGTGGAGGATGGCCCAAGTTCTTGGGCCCTGCACCCGCATGGGAGACCGGGAGGAAGTACCCGGCTCTTGGCTTTGGATCGGCGCAGCACTGGCCGTGACGGCCATTAGGGGAGTGAACCAATGGAAGGAAGACCTTTCTGTCTCTCTCTCACTGTTGATAACTCTCTGTCTCTCTCACTAACTCTACCTGTCAAAAAAATTAAAAAAAAAAAAAAATAGAGCACTGTCCAATAGAATGGGGACAATGGAAATATATATATCTTTAAAGATTTATTTATTTATTTGAAAGAGTTACACACAGAGAGAGAGAGAGAGAGAGAGAGAGAGAGAGGTCTTCCATCCGCTGGTTCACTCCCCAGGTGGCTGCACCGGCCAGAGCTGCAGTGATCCGAAGCCAGGAGCCAGGAGCTTCTTCCAGGTCTCCCACACTGGTACAGGGGCCCAAGCACTTGGACCATCTTCTACTGCTTTCCCAGGCCAGAGCAGAGAGCTGGATTGGAAGTGGAGTAGCTGGATCTGGAACCGGCTTCCGTATGGGATGCTGGCATTGCAAGCAGTGGCAGCCTTACCCACTATGCCACAGTGCTGGCCAGGGAATGTCTTCTATCAGTGGAAGCCCCCCGCCCCCGCATGGCTGCATGCTCCACTTGACCTCACTGCACCGTGGCCCAGACAGCATCATCCACACGGCCCTGTGTGCTTTCAGCACTGTTACTAAACAGCCCGTGCTCCCGCCTTCACGGGTGGGGCGGCTCCTGCACAATTCTGACTGTCTCTGGGTCTGCCACCAGGATCCTGACTCTGCAGCGGTAGATCATGGCAGACACGCCGTCGCCCACCAGGGACTACATTTCCCAGCCTCGCCGGGCCCTGGGTGCAGCTGCGTGACTAAATCACGGGGGAAACTCGGCTCAAGTCCGGGGGGTTGTGGTGAGGGGAGAGAGGGAACACCAGGGGTCTCAGGGGTCTCCACACTCACGCAGGCTTCAGGATCCCCTAGAGGGATGCCAGGGCCTGGCCGGGGGTTCCTAATTCGCGGCCCAGGAATGCGCATGTCCAGCCAGGTGCCAGGGAAGCTGCTGTTCCCGGAACCACACTCTGGGAACCACGGGTCTGCCCTGTTTAGGTCGCTCACTCGGGCTCGGTGAGCAGCTCCCGCCCGTGCCCCCGGGTCCAGCGCCCTCAGCACCCGCTGTCCGCTAACACTGCAGGTGCCCCAGCTCCCGAGGGCCCATCTGCCCACAGCCCGATTCCCAGGGCCACCTGGCTCCCCAGGGGTCAGTACGCCCCAACCCCCCACACACTCAAGACACACCGCCTGTGAGTTCCCAGGAAATTGGAGATTTGGCAAAATGGCCAGCTCAGCCCAGGGACTCTGGCCAACAGGCCGCTCCCGGGACTGGGGTCCATCCTGGCCCCATCGCAGGAGCCGGGTCGGTGCCATCTGTCCACAGAAATGGCCCTCACCTGATTCTCACTGGGACTGGGCTCCGTCAGGCCCCCTCTCCCAATTCCAGCTCCCTCCCTGCAAATTCCCAGTGTGACGGGCCACACACACACACACACACACACACGCACAAAACAAGAAAATGTTTTAATTGTAAAACTAACGTGAGAAGGGTGGGGGGCGGGGCAGCCGGGGCAGGACCGGATTCCTCAGGCGGTGGTTCCGCCCGCTGCCGCCCGCCCGGGGGACCTCCTGTTCCAGGTTGGGAGGGCGGGAGTGTTATAAAATGACAATATAAATAGACTTCTAGAAAAGAGGTGGCTGTCCTGGTGCAGTAGTCGTTTGCTGCAGAGGCTGGGCTGGGCGGGAGGCCCCGCCCCACCTCCCTCTTGAGCCACAAGCAGGGTGTGGGGTGAGGGGAAAAGGCCACGTCAGACATTCATGATTGACCCCCACAATGGCTCGGGGGTGGGGGGCCTGGATGTCAGGCCAGGTCTCAGAGACGCCCACCTTGCGGGCTGGAGGGCAGAGGAGCTGCGCCTTCCACACACACATGCACACACGTGTGCACACACACACTGGTGTGCACACACACATACTGGTACGCACACACGCGTGCACATACTGGTGAGCGCACACACATACGCACATGTGCACACACATACACTACACACACGCCTCGTTCTTAGTGTTCTCCCCGGCCCCGGCTGCAGGTTTCCAGTGATGGGGGGCTGCGTGTCCTTCCTGGAGACAGAACACAGCGGGGGCCTCTCCCAGAGGGTGGGGACCCTGAGGGCCTCACTTGCTCCCAGGAGTCCGTGTGTTTTCGGAAGTCACAAATTGGAACCGGAGTTCAGTAGTAGGGTCCCCTGTGTCCCCGGCGTCCGGGCCAGGAGCAGGCGGGGCGCCGAGGGCTCTTTGGTCCAGGCCAGGGCGCTGGGCCTCATCTGGCGCGGTTCTGGCGCATGAGGGGCACGATGCTGGCGGGCGGCCCCGCCTTGCTCAGGAACGGGTGCTTCAGCAGCTCGGCCGCCGTGGCCCGCTGTGCGGGGTCGCGCACCAGCAGCCGGTCCAGGAAGCCCTTCAGGGATGGCGACACCTGCGAGGGAGGCGGGCGGTGAGCGGGAGAGGGCATCAGTCTGAGCGCCGGCTCCACTGCTCGCTCGCTTCCTCTTCCATCAGACGGCTGGCAGGAGGTCGGAGCACCCACGGCTCGGCCCCAGGGCTGGCGGCAAAGCCGAAGACCCCCAGGCCTCGTTCCCTCCCCAGGAGCCGGCCGCGGTGTGCGCTCAGCCAGGCCAGCTTGCGTTCAGCCTGCGGGGGTGGCGGCAGAGCAGGGGACCCTGTGCACTCTGTCTCTGGGGCTTGGGCCCGAGTACCCCCCGCCGGCGCTCCCTACTGGGACGGGGCCCACCTTGTGCAGGTTCTTCAGCCGGGGCGGCAGGTTGTCCCGAATCATCTTCATGGCTTTGAGGGGTGGCTCGTTGAAGTAGGGGGGCTCCCCGTCCACCATCTCGATCACCATGACGCCCAGCGACCAGATGTCCACCTGGGCAGGGGAAGGTGGGGGCAGGGACGCCCCAGGGAGGGACGGCTTCAGGTCTGCCTTTGCCTCCTGGCTGCCCAGCGCTGCCCACACTGGGGTCCCCCCTGGGGAACCACCTCCCTCCCTCAGCGATGGGTGCATGACCCAGGCGGCCCACTCAGCAGTCGGGGGACACTGTGATTGGTGCAGGAATCAGCACAGGACCCAAGCTGAGCCAATCAGAGTCAACCCTGGGATGCTGGCCCCGGTCAGCGGAGCACCCGCCTGGGCAAAATAGGCCAAGGAGGGAATGAGCCGTGTCTGGAGCCCGCCCAGCCTTCCCAGTTCAGGGACTGACAGCGTCCAAGCCAAATCCATTTGCTCCGCGAAGTCCCCACGGTCTCACAGCTGCCTGCCCTCCTAGGCCGAGCCCCCAGCGCGCTTCCCAGGGCGCCTTTCTCACGGCCCAATGGGCTCGTCTTGCTGACAGAGAAATCCTTAGGGCCAGCCAGTGAAGGGGTCACTCAGGTGATGGGCGGGTGGGCTCTGTGGCCAAGACAGAGCACCCCCAGTGCCACCTGCTGTTGCCACGTGGCAATTTGGCCTCCATGCAGCCAGACCTCTGGGCTTCCCAAGAGGGGTGGGAACCCTGGTTTTCCGTGGGAGCTCTCACTTGAAAACACACAGTGGCCACGGCCTGCCCATACGTGGCTGCTGGGCCGGGCCGCCAGGCAGGCCCAGGGCTAGGCTTTAGAGGCAGCGATCAGTAGTAATGAGGGGGAGGGGCTCCTCAGACGCCAAGCCTCCCAGCTGGCTCCCCGCTGTCCAGCCCGAGCCCTCCCCCAGCACTCGGCTGTCCTGGCACAGGCCCAGGCGTCAGGGGACTCACCTCCGGCCCATAGGGCAGGCGGGAGATGAGCTCCGGGGCCATCCAGTAGGGGGTGCCGACCAGTGACTTCCTCCGCGGCACCTCCTTGCTCACCTGGGCGCAGAACCCGAAGTCCGACAGCTTCACCTGCGGCGGGGCAGAGGCCGGCATGGGGGTGCCGTGGGCAGAGCTGTCCACCCACCCGATTCCTGGACCTCACACGTGCAGGCCCCATCGAGCAGCCCCGGTCAGCGCTGGCTCTGCAGCCAGACCACCGGGCAGCCCCGCGCCAGCCCGTGGGTCTTTGGGGGAGCGGCTGGGCTGGGCCCCTGCCCCTGGCAAGCAGCGGCCTTCAGTTCCAGGCTGGGGGCACAGGGCCTGCTTCAGCAGGGCTCACTGAGGTGCCCAACCCTGACTGCAGACACTGGCAGATCTTCACATCCCGCGGGGGGAGACAGCTCAGAACTCTCTCCCTCTGCCCCCCATGACCACAGGGCTGAGGTCTCCTCGGGGAGGCAGTGGGGTCGCCACCTGCTCAGGAGTCTGATCCATGCCTAGGGCCCTCTCCCACACAAAGTCGTGCCCTCGTGGATCCTAAATGCGTGTCCTGGGTGCTGTGCATTTCACCCATGGCCCCAGACCCCACAACCTCTGTGTGAAATATGGGCGACAGGACTGGCTCCACAGCCCACCCCGGGAGCCTGGCTGGGAGCTGGTTTGCAGTGGAGGGAGCCACCTGCGGCCAGTGGCTGTGGTGCCGGCCCCACCCTGTCCCCGGCGGGTCAGGGCCAGACTATAGTTCCCAGGATCCTGCAATGATGGCAGAGCGCCCTCCCCCACTCCACCCCACCCCGAAGCGCGCCAACACCATCCCCAGCGACCTGGGCCCTTGCTCTGGACAATTCCGCGAGGAACCGAGCAGCTTCCGTGGCCCCGGTCACGCAACAGGCTCAGCACCTCCCCCAGCGGCGGGGGGCAGCTGGGGGGGGGCAGGGAGCCTAGGTGCCCACCGCCGCCTCACCCTGCCATCGTGGGTGAGCAGGATTGAGTCACTCTTGATGTCCCGGTGGATGACGCCCTGGGCATGGAGCACGGACAGGGCCTGCAGCACGGCCAGGCACACGGCGGCTATCTGCTCCTCGTTCATCCTGCACGGGGTGGGGACAGCTGGGCCGGCCACTCGGAAGACACACCCACTCCTGGGCTCCGAGACCCGGCCCCGCCCCGTGGTCTGGAAGGGGCCTGCGCCCCACCCCCCCGCAGCTGCCGGGCAGTACCTGGTGTGGGTGACGATGTCGGTGAGGGCACCTCCCTCCAGAAACTCCATCACCACCCAGAGCTCGTCGCCCACCAGGTAGCTGTTGTACATCTCCACCACGTTCTCGTGCTGGTAGTCCCGCATGATTACCACCTGTTGTCGGGGCGGGGGGGGGGGGGGCGAGGGACAGGCCAGCTCAGCGAGCCGCCCTGCCACAGCGGCCTCCCACCTCCCTCTCGGGCCCAGGCCTGCTTCTGCCCGGACTGCCTACCCCACCGCCAAAGCCGGGTGGACCTCAGGGTCGACCCGAGGCCTCCTTCCTGGGCCAGCCCCACCCCAGGCACAGCTACGTTCTTGGAGCCTGGCTTCTGACCAGGCCTGGGCTGGTCTCAGGGCCCTGACCATCAGGCTGGCGCGGGCAGCAGGAGGGGAAAGATTTGAGCACTGAGGGGGAGAAGGACAAGCAGGTGTCAGGTTGGAGAGGTCAAAGGGCGGCGGGATTCCAGGGGTGAGAAGGCCCAGCCGGGAGGCTGGAGGCAGCAGGCACTCTGGCTCAGAGGGACCGTGCTGTGCACACACTCGTGGTGCAGCCTGGGCCCTGTGGTGGGCAGCAGGGAGGAGGAGCCAGCGCTCGGGCTTGAGAGCAGGACCCTTCCCACACTGCCTCCTGGGCGGGGTCAGAGGCTGCCCGGGTACCAAGTTCTTCAGCAGCGGCCACCAAGGGCCAGCTCTAGACGTTGCACAAAAGCAAGATGGGGGCTGGAAAAAGAAGGGCAGGACCTTGCCCGGGGGGTGCCGGGGCCGCGGGGAGTCTGAGGGGGAGCGGAAGGGGTGGGCACGGAGGTCTGCGTGTGGGCTGCCCGAAAGGGGAGGCTGGGGCTGCAGGGCTGCAGGGCTGCGGGGCTGCAGGGGCAGACAGGGCGCCTCGGGCTCCGGCCTGGCGATGGGGTGGGGAGGCCCCGGGGAGGTGCTCTGCCAGCCAGCTGGGATTCGGTGGCTGACGCCGGGACGCTGGGAGGGAGAGGCAGGAATGGGGACGGAGACGGCCCAGAGGGTGCAGGGAGCGGGGAGGAGGGACGGCAGAGAAGCCGCCCGGCAGCCTGGCCCCGGGGGGGGCTCACCTCGTTGAAGAGCAGCTCGCGCCTCTGCTGCTTGCGCAGGTCCATCTTCTTCACGGCCACCAGCTTGCCCGAGCTGCGCACGGTGGCGATGCACACGATGCCCGTGGAGCCCTCGCCGATCTTGATGAAGTTGTCCAGGTAGGAGCGCGGGTCCCCTGGGTCCACCACCAGCTGCAGGGCAGCCCTGAACTGCTCGTGGGACACTCGCTGCGGCTCCCGCTGTGGGGAGCGGGGGCCGGGGGGCCCCGGGGCAGGGAGGGCAGCGGGGACAGCGGGGACAGCGGGGGTGCGGGCTGGCGGGGCCAGCTGGGGCTCAGAGGCGTGGGGACCCAGCACTCCAGGACTCGGGGGGCCGCGGGCTCGGGCGGGAGGCCGGGAAGAGGACTGCGGGACGGCCCGGCCCCCTGCGGAGGGCCCATTCGGGGCCACATCGCGAGGCTCTCCCTGCAACAGAAGAGAGAGGCAGCTGTGAGCAGAGGGCCGGGCTCAGCTCCACTCCCCGAGCTGGGGCACAGACACATGGGCGGTGGGGATGAGAGACGCACAAGCGGCCAGGCCTGGGCGGGGGCCAGAGGGTGGGAACCAGGGAAGGGGACTGGGGGGCTCTCGGGGGAAGGGGATGTGTTACCTGGGCACCCCGGGATGGGTGGTCCGTGTCGGCCCGGGGGTACGTGTTAAAGGGCCGGCCAGCCGCCAGCTTTGCTCCGCTGGCCAGAGGGGCAGGCTGAGGGGTGCTGACGTCAGGCCCAGAGAGGGGGCGTTTGTCCCGGGAGGACTCCTGGGGGCCCCCTGAGCCCTCCCTGGAAGACTTGGGCCTCTTCTCAGGCCCCACCCGTCGCTTGTCACCGCTGGCGCCTCCTGCCTCGCTGCGGCCGGTGGCCCGGCCTCGGCCGCCCGCCTTCTCCGGGCCTGCTCTGGCGCCTGCGGCCCTCTCCTCCGGCACCCCGTTCTCCTGGCGGGCGCGGGCGGGCAGCGGCGGGCTGTCTCTCCGCAGGGAGTTGGAGCGCGTCACCGACATGTTCTCAAACTCGTCGAGCAGCAGCGTGAGGGCCCCATCCTTGGCACCTTTGCTGCCCCGCACGATGGTCTGGGGTCCCGGGCAATGGCAGGGTGGGGGCCGGGCAAGGAGGGGACACAGGACGTGCATCCAACACACAGGGACAGGACAACACAACACACACAAAGACAAGACAAAGACGGAATGAAGAAATGCCATGGGGTGATGGTGGGGTGGGCAGAGGGGCAGGACCCTGCAGCCTTCCCCCGGGACAGCGGCCGCAGGGGCTCTGTGGGCACTCTCCAGGGCTGGGCTGCCGCCCCCACGCAGCTTGTCTCCTGCCCCAAGGGGTGGAGGGAGGGAAGTCACCCAGTAATCAGCCCTGGAGAGCTGCAAATTACAGGCTGCGGGGCCAGGCTCGGGGCCAGGCTCGGCTCGGCTGGCACTTCCTCCCCTGCAGGCCGCCAGGGTCGTTAACCCCAGCACCACGCGCTCTGCTCTCCTGGAGGCAGGGGGGAGGGTATGGGGAGAAAAGAAATGCCCGGGCCTGAGGGACAGGGCAAGGGGTCCCCAGAAGTGGGGAGGCAGACACAAGCATGCGTGGGGACCGGTCTGAGGGTTAAGTGTGCCCTGAATCCCCTCCCCTCCCCCTCTGTGACCCCCACCTTCCTCCCCTCAAGGTTCAGTCACAGCCTGGGCTCCCTGACCCCAACCAGCTCCACGCACGCGCCCAGCCCAGGGCTGGCACCGCTGTCCTGCTGCCTGGAACATCAGCTTCCTCCAGGCGTCCCCACGCTCAGCATTCAGCTGGCCTCCCACCCTGAGCCCCACTCCTGGCTCTTTCTCCTCCAGCGCACGTAACCCCAGCTGACGGAAGGCCCACACAGTGGAGAGTTCCGAGGGCAGCGGCTCTTTCTGCTCCTGCCCCTCAGCACACGCAACAGCAGCCAGCGCTCAGAGGGGGCTCAGCAGACGTCTGCTGAGCCGGACCGCGGTGAGCTGGGAACAGCAGCCGGCTAGCAGGGCCAGGACTGCCTCCAACATGCAGGGAGCACTGCCCCATCACCAGGGCCCTGCCCGGGAGCCCTCGCAGAGCAAGGCAGACGCGCACACAGGCGGCCGCTGGGTCTGAGGGCCCTGGCGGACCGGGAAGACTCGCAGCTGAGGGCAGCTGAGGCAAGTCAGAGCCACAGCACGCGAGGGCCACGGGAGGCCGTGAAGACAAGCTGCCCGCTCCTGGCTGGGAGCTGGGGTGGCCAGCGGCTCCGGCTGGGCTGTCCTGAGAAGCCCGGGCCACAGGTTCGGACGTGGAGCCCCTTGCTTTGTAAGCAGAGCAAAGTCAAGTATCCCGGGCAGCCTGCAGGGGCCACGCGGACGCTTCAGCCGCCAGCCCGAGACCTGCATTGTCTGTGGCCAACTCACTGACCTTGGGCCTCCCCCCGGCAGGCCTGGGCTGGGCACCGGCAGGGTATGAGTCAGCCGTGGGCCCGGCCTGGGCGCTGCGCCTGCTCACGGAGGGGCACGCCCGGCCCCACTCCACGGGACAAGCCTGTCCGCCCCGGCCCTGGCCCTTCTGCATTCCCACTGCCCCGGGGACAAAGTCCAGGCCCCAGGCCCAGGAGACCACGGCTCTGACGGCCACTTCCTCCCACGACAAGCCCTGCTCCCCAGCCCGGCCCCTGTGCCTCAGAGCCATCTCAGGGCTGGGCCGAGGCGTCCCCTCTCCAGGCTGGACCTGGCTGGCTCAGGCACCTCCTCTGGCTCCCCCACCCCAGCCCTGTCCACCTGGGGCGCTGGCTGTCTACCACCGACAGAGGAGCCCTGAGAGCCCAGGACACGGCTGTGGGGTGGGGACGAGCCCAGGGCTCGGGGCAGGACTGCGGGGCTGGTGTGGGGACCGTCAGGGGAGCGCGGGGTCCTGGGCCTGGGGAGCAGCAGGTCAGAGGCAGGTGCCGAGCCAGCGCCGGCCCAGGGCTGGGGAGGCGGGCCGGGGCCGGAGAGCACGTGGGGAGGTCAGCAAGGAGCGGGTGTTTGGCTGAGGCAGCAGCGGTGCGTGCTCCTACCTTGGGGGCCCCTGGCTGGATGGAGGTGATGCAGGCGGGGTCGACGAGGGGCTTGGGCCTGCGAGCCGACTCCTCGATGAGGCTCTGCCACTGGCGCGGCAGCCCCGTGAACTTCTGCTCGTGCTGGTCGAAGCCGGTGTGCACGCGGTGCTCGAAGTTGGACGGCGCCGAGATCTCCACCCGCTTCTTCCTCTTCCCGAACATGGTGCCAGGGCCTCGGCAGCCCGGGGGCTGAGGCTTGGGCTCCTGCTGGGGGCCTGCAGGAGGGAACCACAGGTGGGGTTACCGGCAGCTGGACCCCTGCCCGAGCTCACCCACCCCTCTCTCTTCCTCTGTCCATCCTGGCCTATCTCATCTGGACCAGATGGAGGCAGCCTCCTCCTCCCAGGTCCCCGGCCCCTCCCCGCCCACAGCCTCTGCTCCCGGCCCTCCCGCGGCCCCCGAGGGCCCTCACTCTCCGCTGCCATCACGTCCTGCCTTCTTCTCCGCCTACAGTGGCTCTCACACCCCAGGGCCTTTGCAGGCGCTCTTCCCCTTCCTGGAATGCTTTCCCGGGGTCCACACAGCACCCCACCCCCCGGCAGGCAGAGCCCTCAGCCCCGCCACCCGCATCCCCAGCTCTCTACCATCTCCCCCGGAGCCAGCGAGTCCCAGCTCGCCGGCCCGGCATCCACCCCGCCACTAGAATGTCTGTGCCACTGGCCAGGCCCTGCCCCCCTAGACCCCGCTGCGCCCACCCATGGCCCAGCACGCTGCCTGTGCTCAGTGACTGGTTCTGGACAGCCCGGCCACCACCCTCCCAGCTTGCTGGGGACTCCGGACTCCCGACACTACAGACCCTCAGCTCCTCACTCACTCAACACGGTTCCTGAGTCCCTGGGTACGCACGCCACCCAGGCCCCCTCCCCTGAGTCAGACGCCGAGCACAGCCCAAGGCAGCAGTAAAAGCTCAAGGGTGGTTCCAAAAGGAGGCTGAGGGCAATGGGTGAGCTCCTGCCTGTGACATTGGCATCCACGTGAGTGCCAGTTCAAGTCCACTTCTGATCTAGTGCTGTCCTAACGCACCCGGCAAAGCAGGGGCCCCTGCCACCCACGCGGGAGACCCAGATGGAGCTCCTGGCTCCTGGCTTCAGCCTGGCGCAGCCCTGGCTGTTGCAGCCATCTGGGGGATGAACCAGAGGATGGAAGACCCCTTCCTCCCTCTCCGTCTGCCTTTCAAATAAATAAATTTTTTTTTTTTTTTTGACAGGCAGAGTGGACAGTGAGAGAGAGAGACAGAGAGAAAGGTCTTCCTTTGCCGTTGGTTCACCCTCCAATGGCCGCCGCGGCCGGCGCGCTGCGGCCGGCGCACCGCGCTGATCCGATGGCAGGAGCCAGGAGCCAGGTGCTTTTCCTGGTCTCCCATGGGGTGCAGGGCCCAAGCACCTGGGCCATCCTCCACTGCACTCCCTGGCCACAGCAGAGGGCTGGCCTGGAAGAGGGGCAACCGGGACAGAATCCGGCGCCCCGACCGGGACTAGAACCCGGTGTGCCGGCGCCGCTAGGCGGAGGATTAGCCTAGTGAGCCGCGGCGCCGGCCCTCAAATAAATAAAATTTTAAAAAGGAGGTCAAAAGGGTGGTGTGTGGACGGTGACACCCCTCAGGGAGCCCGCTAGCGGGCCTGAGCAAGAATCTCTCTCTGTGCTGACCACCCGCGACCCCGGGCGCATCGACCCCCGGGCCTCGGTAACTCCGAGCACAGCAGCGCAGGGTGGCCGTGGGGAACAGCATGAGGACGGCTCCCATCAGGGCTTGCGGGAGGAGGGGCCCGGCCGACCCCCTTGGGGGTGGCCCCAACCCGCTGTCCCACACAGACCTGGTTTGAGGCCAGCTGGGCTAGGAGTGCCCTCAGGCAGGTGACGGCTCCTCCCCGGGCTTCGGGTCACTCATCTGTGAAAATGGAAGAACACGACGGTCACTCAGCCATTCACCCTCCCTGAGAGCTCCTCCAGGCCGCCCCTCTGCGTGGCCTCTGAGCTCCCGGGGAGCCACACGAGGCACACAGCCCTGTGCCCAGATAATGACAGCCTTGGGCTGGCTGGGAGCGCCAGCGCCAGCCTCCACGGATGGCCGAAGGGGACAGGGAGGCTGCCCAGGAGAGGGTCAAAGGGCCGGGGCCACGGTGGGAGGGGGCTTTGTGCTGCCCGGCACAGGGCTGCCAGCCAGCCTCGGGGCCTTAGTGAGGGCCCCTGTGTGTGCAGGTGGCACTTCTGCGGGCTCCTGTCCCGCACGATGGCTCCAGGAGGCCCTTCCTGGCGGCCAGCCAGGGGAACAGGTTTGGCGGCGGCAGCAGCAGCCGGTAGGAACCCAGCAGCCAACCTGTCTCATCTTGTCCAGGAGGCCAGAGGGTGGTCAGAGCCAGGCCTGGCCAGGGCTCCCCACGGGGCCCAGTTTCCCTGCTTGCCCCGGGGCACATGGTGCTTGCACATGGGGTGCGATAGGACGGGCCCCCTTGCCTCTGCCCCAGCCCCCTCTCTGACCCCAGATGTCAGAAGCCCCTCTCAGTGTCTCCCCAGTGACTGCCCGAACACTGCCCGCCCCCTCCCAGGCTTCCATTGGGGCCCACCTGGCGGCCCTGGCCTGCTCTCCGCCGCACCCTCCCGGCTTCTCTGCCCGCGGCTCTCGGTCTTTCTGGCTTCAGATCCTAGGGTCGCCCCAAGACCCCGAGTATGCCCGCCCCTGCAGCGCCCTGCTCCGTCACTCGAGCTCTGTGTCCCAAGTGTTCTCTCCCTGTCTTCCCATGCCCAGCCCTGCCGCTCACCTTGAACTCTGGATCCTGCCCATCTACTCCCTCCTCCCACTGCCTGGGGGCACTAGGGCAGCTCCCAGGACCTCTGCAGAAACAGGGTCAGCCACGTGAACCCTCACTAAACCCAGCAGAGGGTGGGCGGAGCTCGGGACTGAGCAGAGGGATGGGCCAGGAAGGCGGGGCTGCGGAGCCCGAGGTGCAACCACGTCAGCCGGCCCTCCGCCAGCCGGCAGAGCAAAGGCCCTGTGACCCCCAAGCCACCTCCGCACAGTGCAGCTGACCCTGCAGGGGCCGGGGGCGGGGGGGCACACCTCCGGATATTTGCCAGGACCACCCCTTCCCTCTGGGCACCACACAGGGGCAGGACAAACAGAGGAACTGGCCGTGTTTATAATGACCAGGCAGGCGCCCCACCCAGGTTCCTCCCAGGCAGCTCCGACCAGAAGCTCCCGGCTCCCACAGAGCCAGAGGCAGGTCTGGGGGAGGGAGAGAGCTGCTATAGAAAGGCCAGGGCCTGCCAGGGCGCAGAGGGGGCGGAGGGCACAGAGCGGGTGCGGTGGCTCCCAGGCCGGCTCCTGGGCGAGCAGCCCAGCCATCCTGTGCCTCAGTTCCCTCCTCTGCTTCCTGGAGTTTTTTATAAGGAGTCATGGGGAACACAGGCACTGATGGCCTGGCCCAGGGAGAGCCACTGGCTTTAATGCACACAGTAAGTGCTCAATGTGGCCACCATTCAAGCAGGTGCAGCAATTACTGAGCACCTACTGAGTGGCGCCCCTCCTCTAAGCCCTTCACTCAGAGTCCCTCATGTAGCCCTCCTGGCCAGGAGGAGAACAGCAGTGTGCACACTGCACCTGCCCGGGAACACGGCCGGGGCAGAGCCCGGGCCCCGCCAGCTCTCGGAACCAGCAGCAGATCCGAGGGTGGCAGCGGGGGCTGGGTCCTGCACTCCACGCCCAGCTCCATTCCATGCTCACAACCAACCTTCAAGACAGGTGTTCCCATGATCCCGTTTCACAGATGGAAAAGCTGAGGCCCAGAGAGGGAGAACCTTTTGTCCAGGGTATCCAGCTAGTGAGAGGCAGCCAGGATCTTAACCCCGGTAGCTGGGCATGGAAGGCCAGGCTCTTAGCTGCCTGTCCTGGTGTTGGCTTGTCTCTGATTATCATGCTGGACCCCCAAAGCCAGCCACGTGGCCCATGAGGGTCTGCAGATCTGCCTATCACCCCGCTGCCCTCCAGCCCCCCTCTTGCTCACTGCTGCAGTCACGTGGGCCTCCTTGCTGGTCTTCCAGTCCTAGACATGTTCCCACCTCAGGGCCTTTGCACAGTCTGCTTGCTTGCCCCCACCCAGAACTCTGCTGTCACTGATCTGCATGTGGCTCGCCCCCGCCTTCCCTGCCCCTGCCTGTTACCCTCTCTGCCCCTTTCCCTGCTTTCTCTCTCCTTGCTGCTCTTACTGCATACTTAGCGTGTGTACACATGCAGCAACCCTCACCTCCTGCCCCACCTCCAGGCTCCAAACAAAACCGCTGCCCCTGGCATGGGTGGGGAGGGGACAGTGCAGGGGATGTGGCCAGGTCACAGCCATCCTACCACACTCACCAAGATGAGACCCTGCATCAGAAAGGGCTTCATGACACAGTGCTCGCTGTTGCTACGGCACCGCCACCCGCCCTGCTCCCCCCGCCACGGCCTCTGCCCACCAGCTCCAGGAAGGCACCTCCCTGCACCCCCTGCCTTGTGGGGTGAGGTCAGCAGCAGGCTCCTCACTCCACCTCGGCAGCCTCATCCCCTCCTGCCTCTGTCCTGCACGGAACCACCCCCTATCCAAAGCTTCCCCAGGCCTCCCGCTTGGAGCCTGGTTCTGCACACAGCCCGCCGGCATGCAGTGGTGTGACCGTCTGCAGGCCGGGGGCTGGGGCCACGGCAGCCTGTCCTTGGGAAGGGAGCAAGACGCTCAGTGAGGAGGTGCATCGGGGCTGGGACCTCCCCTAAGCCCCAGGAAGGGAGCTCTGGGGGGCCTGGGAGAAGAGCGCCCCAGGCAGGGGTTAGGGTCAGGGGTGACAGGGCGGGTCGGGTAGGGCTTCGTGGGCTATGAGAGGCCTAAAACTTTCCCGCAGAGTGGGATAGATCCATGAGGGTTAGGGGGATGGGCACGGGGGTACACTGTGACCAGGCTCCCTCTGGCTGTGACAAGTGGGAGAAAGACGGACAGGACCCCTGGGCTGCAGAGACGCAGGCGGGCAGGTGCTAGGGCCTGCTGGCGACTTCCAGGGACAGCTGAGGCAGGGCCTGAGCTCCTCGGGGGCAGGGGGCAGGCCAGGCCTTGCTCAGCCTAGCAGTCCCCAGGGCCTGGCACACGCTGGCCCCGGGTCTCCTCTCTCCATAGCCCACGGTGCCACCTCACACACACAGGAGGTCTCTGCCAATGGAGAGCCTCTGAGCCCGCTCTGGGTGGGTGGCAGGGGGCGGAGGCCCACAGAGGGAAAGTCACGGCCCAGGGTCGTGCGCCTCCTGTGTCCCACAGAGAAGGTCTCGTCCACTCCCCAGCCGGCCACGTCCTGCTCGTTCCAGCCCAGAGGCGCCACTGACAACGACCAGAACTGAGATGAGCGAAGCGGCCTCAGTGGAAACATTCAATGGATGAACACAACACCCTCCAAGGCTCCCTTCCACCCGGCTCCAACACCGCCCTGAGGAGGCTCTGCCCGGTCAGGCCCGCCACCCTCCCGCATGAACGGTGGCTCCGCCCCTCACTCCGCTCCTGCCACAGGGGCCTCCTCCGGTCCTGGACACACCACAGCCTGTGCTGCGCAGAGCCGCACGGCTCACCCTTTCTGGATACTGCAGCCGAGGCCTCCGCAGAGGCCAGCCCTGGGCCCAGCAGCAAGAGCACCTGCTTCCCCCCGGCTCCCGCGCACAGGGCCCTTTGGCTCTGGCCGGATCCCTGCCATCTCGCACAGTGCCTGACACACAGCAGGCGCTCAGTGAATCTCTGTGGAACAACAGAGTGAGCCACTGCCATTAAGGAGGCATGTGCACGGCTGGGGGTGGGGAGAGGGGGGCGGAGAGCAGAGGCAGACGGGGGTCCCCAGGGCCTGTCCCTCACTGCCTGAAGTCTGACCTTGATGTCCGAGAAGGAGCTGAGGCCTTGGAGACTGAATCTGGCTGATGAGCAAATTGCCAGGCTGTCCCAAACACTGCCGGCAGCGCACCGCTGCAGGGCGGCCACCCCAGCCACGTGGCCCAGGCTGGGGGCTGCAGGAAGTGGCTGCGTGTCTTGGCTACAGGCAAGAGGCAGATCACACAGGGCGCGCCTTGGAAAGCCAGCAGTCCCCATTAAGACACAGATCCGGGGGGCGCCCTGGCCCTGGCAGCCGGGAGGGGAGTGTCCAGGCGGTGCCCTCACCCCCAGCCTCCGTCCACAGTGCCCTTGGCTTGGGTTCTGAAATGCAGCCTCCTTCACCTCCTTCACCTCTGACCCCTTCTGCTTCCTTGAAATTGCTAGGTCCTTCCCTCGTCCTGGAGGGTGTCTGTGCTGGCTGTGATGTTACCCTGTGCGGCTATTTCATTAACATCTGTCCCCCACCCCACAATGGACGGACAGCCCCACGAGGTCAGGGCCTGTCTCTTGTGGCGCTGCCTGGTGCCAATGCTGTCCTCCGCACAGGCCATCTGCTGAAGGCTGCTGTCACAGCCAAGGGACTGCACAAATGAGCCGGGAAAAGAGCCCGGCGCAGAGATGTGCCGGTCCCTACTTCTCCCAGTGAGTCTGACTCTCTCCAGGGCTGGGATGGGGACCATGACGGTCCACCCATCTCAATGAACGGGAGCCCCATGATGGCAGGGCTGAGGGACAGCTCTGCCACCTGTGTTCCCAGCCCTGCCCAACAGGGCGGTGCAGCCGGAGGATGTTCAATGAAGTGACGGCTCCCTTTACTCAGCTAGACCCAGGCTGGCATTCGCAGTCCCCAGGGAGGCCAGGGCTCTGCTGGCAGCCTCTGCCTCCCAGCCCCTGCCCTTCCATCTGGCCAGGCTCAACAGGGCACTGTTGGTGGCCCCCAAACCCCAGAGGCACCAGGGCGGGAATGGAGTCCAAGGAACCTGGGAGTGTGGGCGAGCCTGCCCGACTGGGGCCATCA